TACACGATTGTCTGACAATGTTCTTTGATGTCGTTCAAGGCTAAGACCAATTCCGAACCATGACCCCGATATTCTCGAGGGTGGGCGTCATACCCCCGGATTCTGACTCAATGAGACTTTTGCCTCGATTTCGGTCCTCTGTCATCAAGTCTCGAGTTTGGTTTATTTTGTCGGAGACTGGGGTGTATCATGAACCCGATTTTACCCGTATACAGATAGTCCTCTCGTTTCTCAGAGAGTAAATGACGAGAAACGATATGAGCTCCCGATTCTTACTTCGATACATCGCGGCAGAAATGACAAAACACTCGAAACGTCTTGTCAGTCATGTCATAATGATATTAAATGCATGTCAGCTGCCGTTCGGCCTTTCCTAGATGAGAAACGTCACTGAACTCCTATAAATACCTCCTCCTCTGTCCATTTTTCACTTTATACCAAATCTTCTACCTTCGTACCTTTAGGATTTCAATACTTTCTAACGTTTTTACCTCCGTTACTCAAGGTTCATCACTACTTTGCAAAAAAATTTACTCATCTCCTACTCAAGCCCACAAGTCTGATCTTTCAACTTTCAATCTTTCTCCATCTTTTCCAAGCTTTTTCTTCCATAACCATGGCAAAACCCTCAAAATCTGTTCCTCAGTAGGATGATCCTTCTTTTTTGAGACCGACCACTGAGGTCGAGGAGACCGCCCCCGATATAGTTGTTGATGAACCGACGAAAAAGCCTCCTTGAAGATGTTCATTCCCGATGGTTGTTCGGTCACCGACGACTTCAAGGTTGAGAAGCCTTCTTCTGTACTAGGTCGGCGTGAAGATGCCTCGAGATACATCGACAAGGACTGGGATCGAGGTTAGCAAGGACGTTTTGTTGGAATGAGGACCGTCGACCTAGTACCTGTAGAGTGGAGGTCATTACCCGAAAGGAGGAACGCATCACATAAGCATTCCCTTTAAGTATCGATTTTATGCCTTATCTTCCCTTTTCTTATCTGTGCTTGTTGTGTTACAGCCCTTTCTCGGGTTCCGAATGCTATCCCTCGAGGGCATTATGTCACAGATGCACTACTCCGAGTGCTCATGGCATAAATTTTCAAAAGTCCATTGGGAGGCCCATTCCCATGGAAAGGTTCTTTTCCCGAACAAGTCGTATTGAACTTTTTCTTCTAACATCGGGTCCTTATCTCCTTTACTTTCTTTTGCAGGTTTGCCTAAGAACATCGAGTTTAGGCCTCCGGTCGGGGACTTGCCTGTTGATTCTCTTGCTCTGGGGAAAGTCGAAGAGAGGAAAAGGAGGAGGGCTCCGAGTTCCCCGAGCTCGGAGAAAAAGAAACCAAAGAGAAGGCTAGTGCGCAAGCCAAAGGAAAACACTAGCTCCTGAGCACCAGCATCAGACTTGCTCTATCGGTTTATGGACGAGTCTGAGGGGGAAAAGCCTTTTGTTTTTGTGGCCCGCGAGCCGTTGCCCCTCGAAGAGCATGTGGCCGTTGAACTAGAGAGCCGCGAGGCCGATCTTCCTCAGGCTAGGGAGGTCGATGAGGAGGCCATTGCTGAGGCTTCCGGGGATGTGGGAAGTGCCCCGAACGAGGCACTTGGTGTGATAGACATCAACTAGACACCCTCATTTACCAAGTCTATGTACAACTAGGCCCAAACAGTGAAAGAACAACCCAACGAGGGGGCTACGGGCGGACGATCCCTCCCCCCCGCTGCTTTTTTGATATAGTGGATTCCACTGCCATGGATGATGACATCGGGTTAGGTGAATTAGAGGTACCGAATAAAAGCTCGTCCTCGGAGGCAGGTGGGCCTAACTGAGCCCGAGACTGGTCAACCGGTTCCTTGCCCCAAGTGCTAATCCTGGTCGGAAGTGGTCAATTATCATCACTGTTCTGGAAGATGCCTCGGTTCTTTCCTCCCCTTTTGGGGTAGCTAGTTACCTCCGGTGTCGGGTAACCGACGAAGACCAGGAAAAAATGAACGAGGTGGATGCGCCATGCCTGTTCAACGAGGCACAACAGGCGCTGAACCGGGTACGGTGTTGCCAAACCTTTTCATTTTTCAGCTTTAGTTCTTGATGCTTCTGATATTTCTTCTCCTATTTGTAGGCCTCAGTGCTTCACTATGAAACCTTCCTAAAGTATCGGGATGAGCTGAGCCAACTTGAGGCCGAAGTCAAAGAGCTTGCTGAGAAGAGAGACATGTACAAATTCCTCAGCGAGCAACGTGAAGGAGAGGCTAAGAGCCTTCGAGCCGAGTTGGATGCGGCTCAGAAAGAACATGCCGACCTCGTGGAACAGGTAAAAATCTCTGAAGTTAGTGATGATGAGCTAGACACGGTGACTAATGGTCACAACCCACAGGTCCAATAGAAGATTGATCGGATCGACCAACTCCGGGCCATGTTGGATGTAATAAAGGTCGAGGTCGAAGAGTGAAAGGACAAGATGGATTGCTTGGCCTCGGAAAAGGAAACTGTCTGGGCACAATTGGCCTCGGCGAAGACTCAACTTTGAGCGATGAGGGAGAAGGATAAGGCTCAGTCCCAAAAAATTGAGGAGCTCCGGTCTCAACTGAGCCCGGTTGTTGCCGATCGGGAGACCCTTGCCAAGGAGCTTAAAGCAGCCAAGTTAGTGGCTGAAATAGCCAAGCCGATGCCGATGAGATGGTAGCCCAGTACAAAGCCGATGTTGAGGAATCCCAGGACCGCCTAAAAGACATTGTTGAATATGTGAAGTGGCAGTCCCGAAGGGAGGCCCTCGAGGAGGTTAACGCTTAGGATTTTGATTTTTCGACTGAGATTGAAAATGTTAAGGGGCTCAAGGCCGAGGCTAAGAAGTTGGCATATCCCGAGGACGAAGAAGACTTCGAGGGTTCCAGTGGATCTGGGGGCGGAGAAGACCTTAATGGTCCCGGTGATGAGGCGGGCTCCGGTGAGGATCAGACTTCTTAGGTACCTTGTAATTTTTGGCTTTTGTACTTTTGCATTTTGTTGAGGCCATTTGGCCATTGTAAAAATTTACGTATATATATAAGGCGTTTTCCCTTCGGTAATTTTCAAGCTTGTTTTCTTTTGCTTTTTTCTTTATGATTGCAAAGATTTCAGATGCCTTAGTACGTAATAATTAGGTCTTATTCAGAGGTTCGAACATTGTTCATTTTCGATATTATTTTGCTTAATACTCATGGGGGGCTTGGTATGACCGGAAGCTTTCCCCTAAATGTTTACTTAGAATTTTTTATAATTTGGTTGAGGGTAGCCTTCGAACCGGTTTAGAAATTTTATGGATCTCGGACGTCTCCGTGCCGTTCTAGGACGGCCGTAGCATTTTAAGTTTGGGTGTTGCCCAATGGGCTTATTACCCCGAGCCATCCGGGCTTTCCCGAGACAATAGTCCCCGAATAGAGATGGCTATAAACTTTGAAGTTCGGGCACTGCCTAATAAGTTTTTGTGCCCCCGTGCTTCGTAGCCCGAGCTGTCCGGGTTTGTCTTTGGATGACAGTCCCTCAGTGAGAGTGATCCCTTGGACCCGGATAGAGGTGGCCCTTGGGCTCGATGTCTTAAGGGAACAGAAAGTAATAATTTTTTAGAGACAAAGTATTGTTCTAGAAGGTAGAAACTTTCTTTCATTTCTGCGCGCAATATACAAAGTTTTAAATATGTTCAAGCTTTTTGTTATGGCTTGGGTGGTCTATGTGGGCACGGTTCAATCGACTGTTTGGTTCTTACAGTAAATTCTATCCACCGAGCCTAGACTGTTTGAGCACAAAGTTTCTTTCCTTGCTAAAATTGCTGTCCGACGGTGATGCCCCCCAATATTCGAAGCCGAACTTTAGAGAAGCCTCGAATATTATTGACGTGATATTTGACACCGGTTCATAGCTGGTCTTCAATTCTAAGTTAGCACGATCCATTGTTGCCTCGTTAAAAACCTTGCCGAAAAATCCGTTTGGGACAAAAACGATACAAGGGAAAAAGAGTGCAACGCATGCTTTGAGGCCTGAAAGTTGTATCATTCCTTGACTGTTACCTGCAAGTGTTAGTCCAATATGTAAAGAAAAGAAATGAATGGGCACCTTAGTAGTAGTATCATTTCAAGTGGGTTACGTTCTAGTTGTTCGGTAGTCGCTCACCGTTCATTGCTCCAAGTTTGTACGATCCTTTTCCGGTGATCTCGATAATTTGATACGGACCTTTCCAGTTTGGCCCCAGCTTCCCTTCTTTCGGGTTACGGGTGCTTAGTGTAACTTTCCTTAACACCAAGTCTCCGATATTGAAGTATCGAAGGTGGGCTATCCAATTGTAATACCTTTCAATCCGTTGTTTTTGTGCGGCCAACCGGACGAGGGCGGCCTCGCGCCTTTCGTCCAAAAGTTCCAGGATCGTACCCATGGCCTCGTCGTTTGACTCTTTGGTGGTATATCGGAACCTAAGAATCAGTTTTCCCACTTCGACCGATATTAGAGCTTCGACATCGTAGACCAATGAGAACGGGGTGTCCCCGGTACTGGATTTTTAAGTCGTACGATATGACCATAGGACTTCGGGCAGGATTTCTTTCCATTTTCCTTTGGCATATGTCAACCTCTTTTTGAGGTTTTGGTGTATGGTTTTGTTCGTGGACTCTACATTCCAGTTCCCACTAGGGTGATAGGATGTCGATAGGATTCTTTTGATCTTATGGTCCTCGAAAAACTTGCTCACTTTGCTGCCGATGAACTGCTTTCCATTGTCGCACACGATCTCGGTCGGCATTCTAAACCGGCATATTATGTGGTCCCAGATGAAATCAATAACTTTCTTCTCCCTGACTTTCTCAAATGTCTGGGCTTCCACCCACTTAGAAAAATAATTAGTCATAAATAAGATAAATTGAGCCTTACTGGGTACCCAAGGCAGGGGACCAACGATGTTCATCCCTCATTTCATGAATGTCCAGGGTGACAAGACCGAATGCAGCGGCTCCCCGTACTAGTGGATCATCTGAGCATGCCTCTAATACTCGTCACATTTTCGTACAAACTCCTTTGTGTCTTTTTCCATATCGATCCAGTAATAGCCAGCTCTGATTATCTTCCGAACCAATGACTCAGCGCTCGAATGGTTCCCGTAGGTGCCCTCGTGTATTTCTCTCATGACATACTCGGTATCTCCTGGTCTTAGACATATTGTGAGTGGGCCATTGAGCGTTCTCCTGAATAAGGTACCGTATTCGGACAAGCTGAACCGGGACGCCTTTATACGTAGAGCCCTCAATTCTTTAGGATCCGAGGGCAGTTTTCCAATCTTCAGATACTCTATATATTTGTTTCTCTAGTCCCAGGTCGGGCTTGTTGAGTTTATCTCGGCGTGACCCTCTTCCACTACTGATCTCATGAGTTGTACGACCGTCCCCGAGTTGAACTTATCATCGTCGACCAACGATCCCAAGTTAGCAAAAGCATCGGCCTCACTGTTTTGATCCCGAGGTAAATGTTGTAGAGTCCACTCGTTGAACCGGTGTAGCGTCGTTACCTACAGTTTATCCAGGTATCTTTGCATTTGCTCCTCTCTAACTTCGAACGTCCCATTAACTTGGTTTACCACAAGGAGGGAGTCGTACTTTTCCTCGATCACCTCTGCCTCTAGGCTTTTAGCCAGTTCAAGACCTGCAATCATGGCCTCATACTCGGCCTCATTGTTAGTCAATTTTACAGTCCTAATAGATTGTCTAACTACATTACATGTCGGTGGCTTTAATACGATGCCAAGTCCAGTACCCTTTGCGTTCGAGGCACCATCCGTAAAGAGGGTCCAAATTCTCGAAGAAGTCCCCGAGTTAAACAACAACTCCTTTTCGACCTCGGGTATTTGGGCTGGCATAAAGTTGGCCACAAAGTCTGCCAAAATTTGAGATTTGATGGCAGTCTGGGGTCGATATTCGATATTGTACCCGCTGATTTCCACGACCCATTTGGCCAATAATATCGAGAGCTTGAGTTTATGCATTATGTTCCTCAATGAGTAAGTAGTTACAACACATATGGGATGGCATTGAAAGTATGGCTTTAGCTTCCTAGAGGCGCTTAGCAAAGCGAGCACCAATTTTTCTAGGTGAGGATACCTAGTTTCGGCCTCGCCTAGAGTTCTGCTAACATAATAGATAGGAAATTGCGTACCTTCTTCTTCCTGGACTAGGACTCCATTTACCTCCACCTTAGGTACTGCTAAGTATAGGTACAACTGTACGTCTGCCTTTGGAGTGTGAATCAAAGGTGGGCTCGAGAGGTACCGTTTGAGTTCCTCCAAGGCTTGTTGGCACTCCGGAGTCCATGAGAAGTTATTCTTCTTCTTCAACAGTGAGAAGAACCGATGTCTCTTATCATAGGACCTCAAGATAAATTGACCCAAAGCATATATGCGTCCGGTTAACCTTTGTACGGACTTGACGTTGTCCACTACGACGATGTCCTCTATGACCTTGATTTTATAAGGATTGATTTCGATCCCCCGGTTGGACACCATGAATCTGAGAAATTTTTCGGATCTGATCCGAATGCACATTTTTCTGGGTTTAGCTTCATATTGTACTTCTTTAATATGTCGAAGGTTTCCTGCAAATGCTTCAAATGGTCCTCTGCTCGCATGGACTTAACTGTTACACCCCATATTTTTGTACGTGAAAGTATGTCGTAAGTCAATTGATGTAAGTTTGAAAATGAGATCCTCTTTGAAAGTATATAAAGTAAGTTAATCATATTACCTAGGAGGTTACAAATATTGAAGATCATGAACAACAAGTACAAAGAGGGTTGGAAGGTTCAGAAGCTAAAAGAATTGAAGAAAATAATGTTTCGTCGAAAGTCGATAAGTTGGGAATGTTATAGCATGTAATTTTGGGGTTATACAAGAGTGTTTAACATGATAAGGAGGTTATGTTATGAGTTATGTTAGTCGTATGATAGTCGTGTGTTATGTTTTGAAGTCAAGCGAGTGGTGGAACAAAAATCGATGAAAGTCATCACAAGTTACATTCATAAGTTTTATTGAACTTTGGGTCAAAGTTAACTGCGATTTTCTCCCAATATACTTAGAGTTATGGGGTGTTACACCAATCAAATTAAATATCTATGAGGATAATTTCTAACACATTAAATCGTTTGTCAATACGATATCGGAGTAGAGAGATATGGGAAATTTTGCGAGACTGCGCAGACTGTCACCTACTTGCTTAAACGAGAATCCAAAATTTGGCCAGTCCGGGTCGTCCAAAAATGGGCCAGTTTGGGTAGTCCAAAGAGGAATTTTTAAAGGCCTATCCCCTTAATAAATTAGACTAATAATAGGGCAAAATAATCAGACATAATCTCTGCAAAAATCCTCCCAAAAATTGCCTACAAACCCCAATTGATGTTCTCTCCCTTTCAAGTTCTAATTGGAGGTAAAGCCTAGAGTTTGAAGAACCAAGATAGGAGCTGAGGTATACAACAAATAAGGTACGTTTACTGCTCTATTTCATCCATTTTTTCTGCTGTAGATGCATAGTAAGTCGTTCTATATTTGTAAGAACTCACGGGACAGTGATCGGAAGCCGTGAGTTCGAGTTATTCACTTGTAACTGACTGTTTTGTGAACTGTTTTGTGTTGCTATTGGGCTGCGTGTTTTACTACTATTTTGTGGAGTTTTGGAGGAGGAAGGGTTTATAGAAACACTACATAAATGCAGGGTGGTGGGCTGGTCATTCGTCGTAATAATTTCGGGCTGTTTGACACTACTACGGTGGTCGTTTTGTGTATGAAGAGATTGGGGATATGTTGGGCTATTTTGTAATATTTTGTGGTGTATATAAGGTTGGAAAATAATGTATATAGGTTGTTATTGTTGCGTTCTTGTGTTGTTGGTATTATCTTGAATTTGGAGGAAGTAAGGATTATAGGGGAGATGCTGCCCGTTTTAATACAAAATAAGCTTGTCGTTTGTTGTGCGATAGTTGTACCTTTCGTAACTTAAATGATATTATTATTATTGTTGTTGCAGATTAAGGTGCGAAGAGGTGAGTTCAACTTGGTGATTGGAAAGATTGTGATAAGGTATGTTAAGGCTACACCTTTCCTTCATTTTGGCATGATCCTGTAACTGCATATGTTTGACAACCAGACATAAAGAGAAGTTCATATTCATGAATTTATTCACATTATCCTAGTCTCAGAAGTTACAGTATTCTCCCTGATCGGGACTTTATATTCAGTTAAGTATTGTTTTCTTCCAGTCAAGAGAGCAGAGGGTGTAATGACCCAACCGGTCATTTTAACCTTTAAAACACGTTCCCTAAAATAAAACATCTCGTATGTGCTTTTAATGATTTATGACTTGCGGGGATGGTTGGTTAGGGATTTGGAAGTGTTAGGGTTGAAATCGGAACACTTGGTTCCTTAAGTTGGCTTTAAGAGGTCAAGTTTGACTTCGATCAACATTTTGAGAAAATGACCCATGAATAGAATTTTGAAGATTCCAACAGCTCCGTATGGTGATTTTGGACTTAGGAGCGTGTTCGGAATTTTATTTGGAAGTCCGTAGTTAAATTAGGCTTGAAATGGCTAAAAATAAGAATTTAAGTTTAAAAGTTTGACCGGGGAGTTAACTTTTTGATACCGGAGTCAGAATCCAGGTCCGAAAATTTACATAGCTCCGTTATGTCATTTATGACTTGTGTGCAAAATTTGAGGTCAATCGGACTTGAATTAATAGGTTTCGGTACATAATGTAGAAGTTGGAAATCTTAAGTTTCATTAAGCTTGAATTGGGGGATAATTCGTAATTTTAGCGTTGTTTGGAGTGATTTGAGGGTTTGACTAAGTTCGTATGATATTTTGGTACTTGTTGGTATAATTAGTTGAGGTCCCGAGGGGACCAGGTGAGTTTCAGACGACTAACGGATCATTTTTGGCCTTTGGAACACTGCTGATAACTGGTGGTATTTTCTTCTGATTTCCTTATATGCGATCGCGTAGGTTGGTCTGCGATCGCGTAGAGTAATTTAGGCAGAGGTGAATTTGTTCTACGTGATCACGTGAATAGGGTTGCGATCGCGTAGGCTTAATTTGGGCAGCTGGGAATTTGTTCTCTGCGATCGCGTGGACACGTTCGTGATCGCGTAGGATTGGCTAGTATGTGCATCGCGATTACGTATCATTATTTGCGATCGCATAGGGGAAATTTGAGAGGAAGCTGGGCCACGCGTTTGTGATACGCAATCACGTAGAGTCAGAACCTGGTGCATCGTGATCGCGTGGGACTTGATGCGATCGCGTAGGGTTAATGTTTGGGCAGAAAAATTTGTGCTACGCGATCGCGTGAGGAAGTTCGCGATCACGTAAAAGAAATCACTCGGCAGAGAGTTTAAGTTTAACGATTTGGAGCTCGGATTTAGGAAATTTTTGGGAGATTTTCAGAGAAAATAATAGGGTAAGTGTTCTTTACTCAATATTGGTTAAATTACCTGAATCCATCACTATTTTTATCATTTAATTGGTGAATTGAGTTGGAAAAGTTTGAAAACCCTTTTGGATAGATTTGAGGATTTGAGGGCCGAATTATTATCGGAATTTAATGATTTTGGTATGGGTAGATTCGTGGTTGAGCGGGCGTTCATATTTTGTAACTTTTGCCGAATTCCAAGATGTGGGACCCACTGACAAATATTTATTTAATTTCGGAATTTTTATTGAAAATGTAGTATTTTCTTATAGAATTGATTCCTATAATTTTTAGTGATTGTATCGAATTATTTTGGCTAGATTCGAGCCAGACAGAGTTGGATAATCGTGAAAAAGGCCTTCTAGTGGATTAAATTGGAGCAAGACAAGGTAAATCTCTTGCCTAATCTTGTGAAGGGGAAATTACCTAATAGGTGATTAAAAATTAAATAATTTTTGCTAATTGTGGGGGCTACGTACGCACGAGGTGACGAGAGTCCATGCGTAGCTACTATTAATGCTAAAGTC